AAAGACAATTCTAATACCAAACGCTCTAATCAAAGCAATCAAAATGACGCGCGCAAGAAAATGAAGTGTTACAATTGCAATCAAACAGGACACATTTCTAAATTTTGTCCTCGGAAATCTGAGACGCCTAATATGGCATCAAAACAGGCAAACGTTCACTCCGAGTCGAAGTCAAGATCCAGTGATTTAAACTAAGCGGGGCTGAGCTCGGGGCCAAAAGCCCAGCCCAAATAAATACAACTGATAATAAATTAACAAGGCCATCTTTTATTAGGTTGTCAACTATTTCAAACAGCTGTTGGTTTGCTAAAGTTAGGATTAGTGATGTGAGCGTCAATATGCTCATAGACACGGGCTCATCTGTTTCTCTGCTATCGATGGAGGTATATGAGAAAATGAGCCCTAGTCTAATTCTAACCGAGGTAGCAGAGACGTTAACAACAGCAGACGGCGAACCCCTACGTGTTTATGGGAAATGTAATTTTCCTATTTGGATAAATGGATCCAAATTTGATCACCCGATTGTAATTGCGGAATTGGGGGGTCTTTCTGGTATACTGGGGTTGGATTTCCTGTCTGACAACAAAGTCGTGTTGGATACTTGTAGAGGAATATTGATGTCCTCTGAATTTAATATCCAGTTGTATAAGGAAAATAGTTTAGATCACACTTGTGCAAGAGTAATACTTAGCGAAAAAGCACAGATACCCCCTGAATCTGAGATGTTGCTGTCTTGCAGTATTGAGGGTAATATAACAGATAATACAACTTGCATTATTGAGCAAATAAAAACTTACGACGAGGATGAAAAGAGAGAACTTGATGTTCTCATACCCAAATCATTAGTAAAAACTTCCGAATCTTCTGTGGTATTTTCTGTTATAAATCCAACTGACAAGATTGTACATATATCGAAAAATAAACAGTTAGCAACTTTAGAACCAGTCGAATCTGTCATAGACGACAAGGAGTGTGAGAATTCCGAAATAACGGATTTTGAGAATTCTCAAATGACAAACTCTGATATTCCCGATTATTTGAACATAATGTTCAATAGTGTATCAAGCAAGCTTTCAACTGACGAGAAAAATGAATTAAGACAATTTATCATGCAATATTCTGACATATTTGTCGGACCCGATGGTGACTTAGGTCGAACTGACCTTACCGAACATAAAATTGATACAGGTGACGCAAAACCTATTAAGTTACCTCCAAGACGATTACCGTTATCTCAGCGAGATATTGCCGAACGCGAGATAAATAACATGTTACAAAAAGGTGTGATCGAACCGAGTAGCTCACCTTGGGCCTCGCCTATCGTTCTCGTGAAAAAGAAAGACGGATCCACACGTTTTTGTGTCGATTATCGACGTTTAAATTCCGTTACCGTCAAAGATGCTTATCCGTTACCGAGGGTGGACGAATCTTTTGATTCATTAGCAGGTGCAAAATACTTTTGCACTCTAGATTTAGCTAGTGGTTACTGGCAGGTGGTAATGCGACCAGAGGATAAACGAAAAACAGCTTTCGCTACTCACAAAGGGCTTTTTGAATTTTCAGTCATGCCTTTTGGACTTTCTAATAGTCCCGCAACATTCGAACGTTTAAAGGAAGCCGTGTTGTGCGGACTTCAATGGGAAAAATGTCTCGTCTATTTAGACGATGTAATTGTATTTGGAAAAACTTTCCAGGAAACTCTAAACAATTTAGGTTCCGTCTTTGATCGGTTCAGAAAGGCTAAACTGAAATTAAAACCAAAGAAATGCGTTTTATTTAAAGAAGAAGTTTCATTTCTTGGCCATGTTGTTTCGGCCGATGGCATAAAATGCGATCCAGACAAAATTGCTGCGATCCAGAACTGGCCAATACCTGAAAATATTTCAGAAGTTCGAAGCTTCTTAGGACTTGCGTCCTACTACCGGAAATTCATAAATAACTTTTCCTCGATCGCGTATCCCTTAACAAGGCTTACTCAAAAGAATAGATCATTTCAATGGACAAAGGAAAGTGAAAATGCTTTCCAAACGCTTAAATCTCTTTTAACGGAAGCTCCGATATTAACCTATCCGGACCCGGAAAAACAATTCATTTTAGATACCGATGCCAGTGCATTTGGTATTGGCGCGGTACTGTCACAAGTACAAAACGGAGAAGAGAAAGTAATAGCTTATGGAAGCAAAACCCTTTCGAAAACTCAAATCAAATATTGTACAACATATCGCGAGTTGCTTGCAGTTGTAATATTCGTCAAACAATTTAAGCACTATTTGTTTGGAAGACATTTTATTCTTCGTACCGATCATTCGGCCTTACAGTGGTTAAAGAATTTCAAAGAGCCCGAAGGAATGTTAGCTCGATGGATATCATTTCTTGATACATATGACTTTGAGATAAAACACAGAAAAGGCTCAATGCATGGAAATGCAGATGGACTCTCGAGATGTCCAAAGCGCAAATGCAAAAGACTTGAATGCGTCCAATGTAATGATAAAATTCATGAAAGATCGAATGAAAACTTGTCCGAATTAAATAGGCAAAATGTTGCCTCTGTCATATCTGAACGTATTGCAAGCGTTGAAATCGAATCAGATAATGAACAAATTTCAAATCCAATACCCATTGAATCGAATTGGTTAATATATGACATTGAACGCATGCAAAGTGAGGATAGTACCATTAAAACCGTTCGCGACCTTTTAATAAAACATAACGAAAAACCAAATTTTGTTAACACAACAGACAAAGACCTTGATGTGTTACTAAAACAATGGCCATTACTTCAGGTTGAAAATAACCTGCTTTATCGAAAATGGGAAAATGAGGATCGCTCTACCACTATGCAATTAGTGGCCCCAAAATCATTAAGGGAAGTATTAATGATACAGCTTCATAATAATAAAACTGCTGGTCATCTTGGCCGCGAGAAAACTTTAAATAAAATTCGTTCTCGTTTTTACTGGCCTGGTATGTCCAGTGATGTTGCCCGATGGTGCCAAAGCTGTGAGCTTTGTCAAAAACGTAAACCAGGTCCAGGGTTAGGGAAATCTCCAATGAGACACGTAAATGTGTCAGCTCCTTTAGAAGCCATCGCAATTGATATTATGGGCCCTCTTCCAATAACCGACAATGGTAACCAATACATCATGGTCGTGGGTGACTATTTCAGCAAATGGACCGAGGCATATGCATTGCCTGTACATACAGCTCAATCTGTAGCTGACAAATTAGTAACTGAGTTCATTTGCCGATTTGGTACACCTCTGCGTATCCATACAGATCAGGGACGCGAATTCGAATCCAACTTATTTTCAAAATTATGTCAGCTTTTAGAAATTGATAAGTCCCGTACTACACCGTACAGACCCCAATCTGACGGTATGATAGAAAGATTTAATAGAACTTTATATACAAATGTTACCTATTATTATACCTTAGGAATAATGTATGTTTCGCATACATTATGTCTTAAGAGGGGAGGAGTGTAATGGTGGAAGATTTATTTTTGCTTATTTATTATATTATACTTGTATATAATTATTACTATAGTAAACTGCATTGCGTTACATATAGTATTCAGTCGGGAACGTTGCTGGCGCAGCGCGCGAGTCAGGCCGTTCTTAGCGACATCTGCGACCGGCCTGACCACCGTGATACGCCTGTCACAGTCCCAGCTAGGCACAAGAAGTCGTTGGACGCGAATCAAATCTATCGTTATTGATATAGGTAATAATCTTCCACCAACCCCTAAATTTCACTTGTTATTTATATATTTGTTATCTGATTGTTGACTTATTAAACCTGTAAAACGTTATTATTGTTTTTGTCACTGTAAATCGCAGAACTCAGGGATAATATGGAAACACACCAAGTTTCCCGTTACATAAGACTAAAATGCAGCATCTCAGATTCTTATGATTTTATAAATCAAGTGCTTAAAGTACTAATATGAAATATTGAGATAATGAACAGTATTCAAGCTCTAAGTTCATTAAAACAATACAAATCGGGATCAGAGCAAACACGGACCTTCAAGGGTCGGATCAGGTGCCATGGAGAGTGAGCATTCCCGTGCCGACTGGTCCCACCCGCCGTGTGCTTCTTGTCATGATCGGTAAATAACGGGAAAAAATCCGTCGACAATTCAGTGTGTAAATAATGGCCTAACGATTAGTATGAAAAGGTGAGTCAACATATGACTTAATGATAGATTGTATTTGCTGACAAGGTCATTGTATCGACCATAGAACTTACGAAATGATAACTTTAAACGAGACTGTTGATATTCTTGTTTCATCAACTTGTTTGTCAATAACTTACCTCGTTTTAGAAATTGTTAATACATGGAGCATGCTCTCGCGTATCAAATCAACTGAGAGATATACACCCCATGTGTAGGTGATAAGGGTACAGTGCAGGCAACTTATTTTGTTACAGTATCGATGTTTATTTGAATGCTTCCTTTGCTTTCTGATTTAATGCTAGTTATCCTTATAAAAAGCAGTTGTATATTAAATGCAAGAGGAAATGTGTGACAGTTAAAAAATCGGGTTAGGGACGCATATGCTCAGGGTCTGCATTTCTTTAAATGAAACGGGATTAAATTATTAAAAAAGTTTCTTTGTTTTTATATACATGTATTTCTAGTCAAAACCAGGGTGTTCAAACCGTCATTAGTTTAATACATAGGCAAATCAACCAATAAAATATGTTTAAGCTCAACCAAGTGAAGAACCTAAGTTATTCGTGTCATTGCTTAATCATAAAATAGGGTTTTTTCCCGTTGTTTTTATTTGTTGTTTATATCATTATTTTTTACATTTCAAAAAATAAAATTTTACTTTCTAATGTCAAACGTTTTAAAAGGGATCAATTGCTAAGATCTTATTCGATATTGTAGCAATTCAATCTCTTGATCTTCAGAATATAAGGCAAAGCGTCTATCCATTGAGTAACCATAGCAGTCCAATTACTAAGGAAAATACTCAAAAATAAACAAGATGTGTATAGAATTAATTGTGCATGATTTCTTAGATTGTTATTGGGTAAGATCCACAGTAAAACTCTGTAAACTTATAGCCTCCGGTTATAACTTTCATACCTCATTTTACATATATCTAATATTCCATAATGTCTGCATTGTCTTTGCAGTACTTGGTCAGGAACTTAAAAAAACTATCAACGCCTGTATTAGTGACAATGTTACTTTGTTCTTTGATCTCCCTCAAAGAAAGGATCTTACAGTGGGAAGTTATCTTGTGTATAAATATGATGTAAAGGGAGATCCAACCTTTGCCAAAGTAGCTGAGAAAAAATTGGAAACTTTGATGGATGTTGTGGAAGGACGGCTATTAATTGACTTTTATGATGATTCGTCACAGCTGAAAAATGTAGTGTTACTGAATGTGCAGAAAAATGATGTTTCTAATTATATTCTTGTGATTAATTACACCAATGCTGCAAAACAGTCGCCAGAATATGTCCTGGAATTGCCAGTAAAAGGTATGCAGTTAGTTTACAAAGATAAAGCTTGAGGCTCACGAAGTGTCTCTGAATTTGAGCTCATCTGGGACAAAGGTTCGGCGAGCCTATGCTATGAGTATATAATGATACCTTTTTTGGAAAATAAACCACATCTCAAGGATCTGTTAACCGACATGTATATTCAATACTTGGACACAGATCTAAAGAATCTTTTTGCTTAAAGTTCTCTTTTAAATAAAAGGTTATTCATAGTTGACAAAATATAACACCTTCATTAAACCATAATATGTGCATATTTTGAGGATTTGTGTCCTCAAACCTCCTCTATGCAAATTGGGTCTCAGGATGTAACAAACCAAATGAACCTCACAGGACCTACTTTTTGAATCGTACACCAATTTTCAATTCGTCTCAGATGCATGTCTAAGACACTAAAATTTCGATTATATTCATATTTGTAAGTTTGCGAATCTTTGTTTTTTGAAACATATTGAGTCTTCGAGGCAACAACTATCAATCTTTGTCATTTAATGTAGCTTTCGGCCTGGAAAATGCTAACAGAAAAGTAAGTTATGGTAATCAGCTTTCGTTAAAACTAATAAAGATTTTTTTTAACTATCGTCTTGAACACCATGAGTGTATTGTCAAAAACCTTAGAAATGATATATTTGTGGTCACTGGGATAAAAAAAAAAAATATAGACTACTATAATTGTATCGAGTATTTTTATCTGGGGAAGTTTGAGTCCTATAGGGACATTAAATCATGAAAGTTAATGCAATTTGAGGATTTTGGATGCGTCAACCTTAACACAGCCTACAGTTTACTACACTGTGCTTTCGCCATCTTTTGGCTATTCTTATCATGTAATACATTTAAGCCTAACACTTGATAGTATATCTATCCATTTCAGATATTTGCTTTGAGAATCCCAAGGAAAAGGATGGATGTGTTTTTTCAACTTGTTTCACAGGAGAAGATGGGACTCTAATGGTATAACATTTTTTTTTTAAATATTCACTTATGCACGGGAAAATAAAGTCATTTAAAAAAAATCATTTATTCAAGCTATGAACCATGTCCAGAACAGATGTAGTGAAATTTCGAAGGTATGTATGTCTCATTGATGATTCCTCAGATGTTTTCCTGGACGCAAGGAAATTTAGGTTGGTATATGATTTTTAAAGCAGGATTTGCATCATATATTGAAGTGAATAATAAAAATTGAGTGTCCATTCAGGGAATCTGGCCACAGTTGCATTGATTTTGTTAATAATTTTAAAGAAGAAGGGCGTACTTGGCGTGCGATCTGCAGGAATCATGTGACTGTACGAAACATTTATGGTTTAAATGTCCACGATTTGGTCGACTGACCAATTGGATAGACATTACAAAGTTACGTACATAGGAAAATGATTTACATTAAAATAGCTTGCAAATTTGAAATATTTCAGTCCACTTATCTTAATAATTACGATAACACAGTAACACTTCACATAAATAATAAACACCTAACAAGAATATGAAATTAAGTTTCAGTCCCGTAGGTTTGAAAAATTGTTTTTCATTCCCCGTGCATCTGAACCAGAATTTATCTCTTTTAAAACTTTTATAAATCAGTAAATAAAATCCAACTAAAAATGACTTTATTGTTTGTATAAAAGAGAAAAAAAAAAATAAAATGTTCCATGCGAGGATCGAACAAAAACCTCTCCTAAGTGTGCTGGACTGGTAACGTATACTCTTTAAAGCTATCATCGCTACACAAACACTATGAAATTTAAAATGACAAGGAAGCAACGCATTTACACATTGGTATTTGTTTGGAAAAAGTTCATTTTTTATAGACTCTGGGTCTTCTCTCCATTTTTTACAAATGTCTGTTCGTTTCTTTGAATACAAATGCACACAAATGTCTTTTTTAAAAACGTAGAGAGATGACCATAGATAGCAAATTTTTAGAAAAACGTGTTTAAAAATTTAAAATTTTTGTACCAAATGACTCATCTAGCCATGTTTCAAATTTTTTTAACAAAATCAAAACACATTATAGGGAAAAATATTTTCCTTTCCTATTTCATAGGAACATATTACACCAAAAGAATGTTAAAATTTAATTTAACAGTTCAATAATGTTTTCACTTTTCAAGTGCGCCCCGATTCCTGCCAAATGTCAATCAAAAGAGCCCTCGTACTTTCTATATTTATCTTCTTTTTTTTTTTTTTTTAAAAAAAATACCGTCAGTTAGATATGAAATTTCTTAGAATTCAGTAATTATAATATCACCGTCAAACATCTCCGTTTCTAAACATGAGCACGAGCTCTGTTATTATGTCACCCCGGACGACATATTGCTATTGTTCGACCAATAACGCGCTCCGCACAATTTCTCGAAGATGGATCTGTCAATCTTGATGAAATTCAACTGTCATAATGATCACTAGCTAAAGATGTGTAATCTTTCTTCAAAATTTTCAAAATGGCAACTGTTCCCATGGAAACTGATAAAAAGTGGGGTTTTTTTTAAATTTCATCTTTTTCGGCTGCTTTTGATCAAATCTTTTTGAAACTTTAAAGAAGTGTACCTTTCCTCCTGTCAAAAAATTTAGGCAAAAAAAAATTTGAAAAGGCTCGACGGAAAATACAAGTAATTGAAGAAAAGTTGATGTCACGTGACTATTTTTGTGATAAATTACTAGTGAGTCCGTCCTGCAAGTTTTTTTTTAAAATGATCCATACAAACTTACTGAAACTTTATAGAAATGGTAATCACCAACTGTAGTTGTGCTAAAACCCTTCAAAATTTTCAGATTTGTCACTGTTGCCATGGCAACAGACAAAGAGTCATATTTTTTTTAATTTCCTTTTTTTTCATTTTTTTTTTTTTTTTTTTTTTTTTTTTTTTTTTTTTTGGTGTAAAATCTGTTTTGAAACTTTAATGGGTTGTTTGTCGCATCCTATCAAAGTGAATCCTGCAAAATAATGGAACAGAATGGACAAAAAGTACGATTAATATAGAAAAAAAAAGCTGCAGTCGAGTCATCTATATTTCGTGATGTTTCCACACTTGCTTTTGTCCTTGAATGTTCTTGTAAAAGGCTTTGACAATCCTATTGAACCCTTTCACAGAAATAATAATCACTTTTCGTAGTTGTGCAAATTTCATTTAAAGTTTTCACCAACGTTGCCATTAGAAAAGAAAAAATAATTTAAGAAATGTTGCTGTCACGTTGCCATTGTATGCTCTCAGAAGTTTCATTTTAAAAATTACTTTTCCACTCTTACCACAGCATACTTTTGTTATTTAATAATTTTGGATGATTGTATGTAGCAATGCCTATTTACAAATTGAAAAATTTGTATTTGCAGTTTCTTGAAATCACTGGCCAAAAAACGTTGTGTAAACGTTTGATGATTCATTTTTTAAAGTTGTGTACCGGTATTATTTAATGTCTTTATCTTCCTAATTTTTTTTTTCAGAATAATCCTAGGGTACGTAAATGAAAGTCTATGAAGCTTTTTTTATATTACCAGTTTCTTGATATGATTAGGAGGAAATTAGATATCTTAGCATTTCCAAGAAAACGTAGGACCAACGTTTCTTAAACACAAAAAACTATTCATTTTATTTTCATTTATAAAAATTACGGGGACGCTACTTCGGTAATACGTAGTGTAGAAGTAAAACTTTTCTGGTGATGGAGAAGAGACGGAAAACCTTCCTATTTCCTTAGCAATGAATTTTTCGTAAATAAAAAGGATTAACAAGTCTCTTCTCAAGATCACCCCCCCTTTCCCACGAAACGGCGAGAAAGATATGCAAGATATAAAATTTACAAATGATAGTGAGATCTTATGAGTTTCGTTAATAAAATTCAGTTCCGCTGATTGCCAGCATTCATTCCTCATCTGTTTTGTCTTTAGAAATTATAATTATTTTATTTAAAATAAATTTATCTTTAAAATTTAGCGATTGTCAGCTGTATTCAATAGCATTTCGCGTTTTCTGGTGAATGTATTACTTGCATATGAATAATTTCATTCAATGATATTGAGAATTATTTAAATTTAATTTCCATCGTTTTTATTCATTGAAAATCCTGGGATTCGCTCCCGCTTTTCCGCGAAAACCTCATCATTACTGTACCTAAAAGATCAGCAGGCCGGAAGTGTTCATGATTCTCCTACACTAAGAAGATTTTCACATACTTTATAATCTCATAAAAAATATCTGCCCCCGTTCAATGCAGAAATGCCCGGTTTGAAGAGGAAAATTCAGGAATTATTTTGCTTCAGCCATGTTTTGACGTGAACCTTACTCTACTTTCGCTTCCCGTAACTTTGGTTTGACCAAAGCTAGCAAGCGTAAAGAAAGGTGGTGGTGGTGGGGGGGGGGGTCTACGAATACTCGATCACTTCTTTAAGATTTGAAGAATCTTATAGCTTATGGTTCAGTTCGGGGTGACATACGCTATTGCTTGTAATAGCAGATTTTCTAGTTGTTAATTGTTATTATCGATCGTATTCAATTTTTTTACTCTGACACATCATTGAACACGGATTGACAATACTAGTGAGTTATTTTTACCTTCTCACATTTCTACTCTGAATTTTCTGGATTATAGTTTTAATATTTTTCATTGATACACAACAAATTTACAACTTTTCTTAAATTTTAAGGGTAAAGTATACTTCGAGAAAGTGCAAAGAAGTGTGTCAATCCATTGCAAACAGGTCCTGCAATTCGTAGTTTTAATAATTTTTAGATAAATGGAGTTTTTAAACACACTCTTATAATACACACGTACTTTAGTATGAAATGTTCTAGCAACTTGTAAGTCATAATATTATACTAAAAATTCGGGAAAATATTAACCTCAAGTCTGTGTCTAAACCCCTTTAAATGTACTGAAAAAGACTTTTTTTCTTGATGTACAATTCATAAATCAATCATTGATGGATCTGCAAATAACCTACGCGCCTAGTGATCCAGGACAAATCTAAGTGGGAGTGGGGGGGGGGGGGGGTTAAGCTGATTGAAAGCTAAATATTTGACAAAAAATCATCATTTATCGAATTTTCGAAATGCCAAAGTAATACTAGTTTTGACCTTGGCCACGAATGCCATTAACTCATTTTGTCCTTATTATTATCAATATCTACTTCAGTGCATTTCTATAAATTTACAGTAAAACTAACGATCCTAATCTTATCGGGCCCATATTAGAAGGAAGCTATGTTCTTTAGTAAGCTGAAGCTTCTTTCTGATTAAGATATTAGAATAAGTTAGGAAAGCCATGAAGATTTTCTAAATGGAATTTAACTCACGAATGTTACTAAGTCAAACACACTTTGTCAGATTTGTTCGGCAACATAATAATGCATGATTAAATCGTCCAATGAAATAAAAAATATATTTGTAAATAATCTAAAGCAATCGAATCTCTGAAGCATTTCATTATAGGAAATGTTTAGTCAATCCTTATGATAAGAAAGTTTAAGATGTGAATCTGATCTGAAGTTCATTTACAAGTTGTGGTCAATAAGAGAAATATATGAATTTTTTTTGTAATTGTTTCAGATAAAACTTACAGACCTTGTTCATGACGTTGAATCTATTAAAAATATTTATGACATACTTGTGATAGTAAAATGACCGTAGTCTTTTTCGAAATTATAAAAAAAGTTTTAGTAATGATTGTTTGTTTATTTGTTTATGTCTTTCGAGAATTTTTCACTCATATTGAGACAGCACCACTTCCTGTAGGGTTGCAAATTTAGACCTGTACTCCGCACTTACGGCCTTTGAGCAGTGAGGGATCTTTTTAGTGCCTGCACCTATACTGCGACACAGTACATCGGTTTATATATGGTCTCATCCGAAAGACCGGTTTCTGTGTCACACAGTGAATTTTAACACGTCTTATAAGAATCAACTCCTTATTCCTCTCTCTAGAGCAAACGCTCTAACCACGGCGACTTTAGAATTGAATGACTTGAGCAAATTAATACTTAATTAAATCACTTGAATCAACTGAAGATTTAACTCAGTACTGAGAAGAAAAATTAAACACAAAATGTAGTATGAATTATAGTTATTTTGATAAATTAGTGGAATGATTAAAAAGTTCCATATATATGGAGAGGAAAAACTTCTTTTCTCATACCTTTTTTCTCTTAAACTTATGTTGTTGTGATTCTGATAATAATGGAGTGTAAACTAGGGCCTGGTCAAAGCTGTGGTGAAATCAAAAATCTCAGAACTCATGGTGAAAACAAAATGAGGTTTGTTTATTTGTTTGTGTTTTTAATTTTAAGAACCAAGATATTATATGCACAGGTGCTGAACACCCAATACAGAAATATAATTACATATCAACAGAATTCAAAACAGGTACACACTAGCAAATCACTATTATTTCCAGTGAAAATGTCTATTCCGACACCCATGCAATCCATTTCACTGTTAATTCCCACCCTTATTCAAATTCCTATTTTTGTCCGTTTCTGCGTCATTTTACAGAGGATATGATAACATATATCATTTACTAGTGTATAGATTGTAAATTACTGAATGTCCTGCTCTGCGATCCGATTTTCGCAATTATTAAATCTGGACAAGTTTGAAATAAATCACGATATTTCAATTAAAAATTTTTATACACGTCATTCGAATTTATTGTTGAAACATTTCTGCCAAATTTGGATATATTATGACGATAAGCAAAAACATTATGACGCGGGTAGTCCGCGAACTTTTCGAACAACCCTCGTATGTTTATTACACTGTGTAATCTGACATCCTCTCTATTCCGACACAAAATTTTGTCTCCCAGTGCATATGTTGGATCAGACAGGTCCTACTGTATAAACGATACACGGAAACAAAATTACATATCAAAAGAACTTACATTGTACAGGTTTCAGAGGCAAAAAAAGCATAGTTATTAATCAAGTTTATCCATTCGTCCTAAAGGACTTGAAGGTTCTTAAAGTTATATAATGAGTCAAAATCATGTGTTTCTTTTAAGATATATGAATCATAAAGCGAAAGATTTATGAAAATTATGAGTAAAGCAAAGATATGACAAATAAAATGTACTTCAAAGCAAGAAGAGACTGCACAATATAAGTGCCGGAAAAACCTAATACTTTCAGAAATTGAACAAAAGAACAAGGTACCCGTTCATTTTCAATACAAATCTGGCCCCGTATTTGTTTAATATGATAATATGAAAGAAATTAAAATTCATGCTTTCTAATTGTTGAAACTCCATGCACTAAGATGATACAAATCATTTTTCTCAAATTGTCTTCCTAATTATAAATGCTAATTGTGACGTCATAAGCTTATGCATTTTCCCGTATTTTCTTAAAAAGTTGCAGAAGACATCAATTTTCAGATAAGGTAGACCACATGCACCGCCCACAAAGATTGTGAGAAGTGTGATTTTTCAAAGAATTTTTACACAACATTTTCGAATATTGAAGTGGGTGACGGCTGAGGACACTATTTTTCAAGGAAAATACCCCCAGGAATGAGTCATTTTGTGGCTTTTGTTGCTTAAAACTTGCAAAAATATGAAATTAATGATGTCTTATTTACAGAATAGCCCTCCATCATGCCATATTCTTTCATAATCACATTTATATACTCAACTCATATTTATGCCAATTTCAACACTTTTTGAAAACATTAAATTTTTATAGGGCACAATAAAGCCAAAACCGTACCTTCCTCTTTGCACGGGCCATGCAAAAATTCTTAATGTTTGTCAATTTACCGTTTGTGCGTCACGGTGTCGCTTTAAATTTTGAGAAGTGTTTGTTTACCAGTATACTCACGTGATGCAGGTCATCTTGATGTATGTTGAGTAATTAATAAGAAGTCTTCACAAAGTCATGCTATTTTCAAACTAAGTAGACAAAACTTTTTTTTTCTTAAAGTAGTATTTCAGTTTTAAATGTTTTCTTTCATTCAGAATAATGAGACGGGCATGACAGAGACAGTGAATGGCTACAAAGTGATATCAAACTGTACAAGTGGTGTAACTGTCAGCTATAAATGCTGTAATGCAGCTGGGGAATGTGAGCAGCAAATGCTCAAAGTACCAGAACCTGTCGAAGGTATATATTCACTGTAACATTTTGTTTGAAACATACCTTTGGAAATTTAGTCGTAAATGATTAAAGATGCAGGATATGTAACACTGATTAATGTTATTTTTGTATGTTATCTTATTCAGAAGAGGTCCAATAGTCAACCGAGTGTAATATATGCCTGGGTTTTTTTCTGGGCGAGGTGTTTGTTTGTTTGGGTTTGTTTTTTCTTGCCACATTACATTTTCTTCCTTTTATCTATTCCCTTGTAAAACTTTCGGGGTACTGATGCATCTAGTTCTGCTTCAAAAGGGCATTGATTTAGATAAATTTTATTGTTCACTTCTCGTGAGATTTTTTGTCCAGTACTTGTCTGAACTTTCATATAGAGATGATACACTGTAAACGGGATCATAACTCCCCAGAATGACAATTTCTGTTCAAGCAGAATTCTTGGATTGTCATTCTTCTTAGATGAACCTGAAGTACCTCAGACAAAATTTCGCTGAAAATTTGTGACCACGTACATAAACTAATCCCACACGATAGAAAAGTACGTCTACAGTGCCCTAGCTTATGACACAATGAACGGTCAGACAATTGTGCATCAGAATAAATCAATGTTATGGACAGGTGATACAAATAAACTTTTATCAAAAATCTTGAAAATAACAACTAAGGTCATGTTTATATGAGTAAAATGAATAAGTTCAACTGCATAGATTTTTATTTTCCATTTAAAGTTTCACAATTCATGTAATGGGATTTAAAGTGACAAAAAGTTATATAGACTAATAAGGATGGTTGCAGAAAGGTAGAATTTTGAACATCATAGAAAGTTTCCAATCTCTTAATACTTTAGAAATTTATTATTTGCATAATTGAAAAGCAAAGTAGGTCCAAAAATATATACTAATCCAGGCATCCATTTTTTTTGTCATAGAAAAAGTTTTCAATAATTGCATTCTTGGTAGTATGACAAAAATTATCAAATAGGAATCACATGTTTCCGAATATGAATAACAAATTATCGAATAGGAATCACATGTTTTCGCTTAAGAATAACAACTTGTCGAATAGGAATTACGTTTGATCGAATAGGAATGATATGTTTTTGAATAAAAATAAGAAAATTTGTGAATAGGAATAACAAAAGAGTATAATAATCCAATGTATCACAGGCCATATAGGAACTAAGTAACATGATATTGACGACGCATTTTTTTTTTCTTATTCTCAGAATGTTAATTAACATTTCCTTTACTTTTCATTGCATTGATTTCTAGTCTTAAATTCCGAACGGATGTGATTTTTTAACAACACATTTCATTGAAAATAACAAACACGTGTCATTCCTTCCTTCCATGGCCTTGTATTGCTTTATCATGAATGCCTCTGACACTGACATTTCTTGGCACCGTTATAATTTTGTTTAAAATTCCTGGGCCGTAAACTGAACTATCTTGAATATCTCCATGTGTTCTTTCTGCTTAAAAAAAATTATTTGTTCTATATATTTTGATGTAAAATTTGCGACTTCTTCATAGACTCATAGCAAGGCACCCTAAACAGAAGTGACTGTATGCTACATGAGAATACCTGCATAAAAATCTAAAAATTTGTAGCTTTGTATCCCTTTTGTGTCACCATTGCTGCCCTTTCGGACCATGGTAAGCACGCCTGTCCTGCCCGTCCCTAGCATGTGAACAAATTTGAATCTATATGACGATATCTGGATCCAATTTTACAATTTGTAGCTTTGCATCTCTTGAAAGATGATTCTGTAACAAAAAAAAATTCCGTAGTACAATTACTATCTAAAAAACATCAAGATACATATATACATGTACAACGTACATATAATTCTGTAAATGTAAATTTAAGGAAAAAAACGAAATGTAAACTTAAGGTCAAAGTCTAATTTTTCAATTACTTAAAACCAGTAGAGCTACAGTCTCATCAGAAAATTCTAGTTTTTCTAACAATTTCAAGTATTGCTAAATCATTCAAATTCTGTTATATGCAGTATATTTTTGCTAGGATACGTCACTTATAAAGATATGTATGTTACTATGGTGAAATTTATAAGGATCAAAAGATTTCCATCTATGAAACTTTACTTACTAGACTCAGATTTTAGCATTATGCACTGTCTCAGCGTAAGTAAATTTCTAATTTATGCAGTTAACATTTTTTCTTTGACAGTATTTTTTTTTTTTTTTTTTTTTTTTTTTTTTTTTTTTGTATAAATGAGCTACTGTTATATGTTACCAATTTAAATATTTGATAGAAATTTATGAATATGGATGTATCATTTTCTATGTATTGATTTCTTTGACATTCATTTTTTAAAGTTTCCTTATTTATTAAATAGATTTTGATAATTCTGATTCTGATGAAAATGGCGGACCTTCATATTTGACAATAGTTGGTATATTTGGAGTTTTGATAGGCCTTGCTCTCATCATTGGCATTGTAGTGTTCCTAATGAAACGCAGAAATAAATGAAGGTAAGCCTAACTTTTAGTACTTTACAATGTTTGGATTATGATTTAAAAATTTAAAAAAATTACCACTTTTGTTTGTTTTCTAAGGTGACCATTATTCCATTTTTTTTAGTCTTTGTCAGTTGTGTGACATTTTTACGCTTTGGACATTTTGACAGAACATGCGATCAAGAATCCTTGAAATTCACTGACTAAACCCCTTTCAAAGTGGAGAAATAGATAAATTAGGGTGGGGTCATTCCAAAATCTTTTCAAGAAGGGATGGATCAAAATTATTCAAAACAGGGAGAGGGGCATTTCAATGAACAAAGAAAGCATAATAAATCATATATTTCATGTCCCATGGGGCAGATTACAGGATGTCGAGGTATTTATATATTGAAAATGCATGATACCGTTGCACATCGTCTTTATTCTAGTGGCAATACATTTATTAAGCAAACTATATAGATGATTGACAAAAAGCTAAGAGACTTTTTCATATGTGAAATTTATTTCCCCCGAGTTAAAACCCCGTCATAGAGCTAAGCTGAAGACATATCTAAAATGAATTCAAATTTAAATATCTCGCATTTTCAATAAATAATCAATAGAGCCCCCCCTCCTGCAGAACCCCTCACCCTGGGGCCATAAATTTCATAATTTTGGAAGACTCTTGATCATCATAACCGTGCATTTTGTTTATCTGCTACATACCAAAGAGCAGAGAAGAAGATTTTCAAAGAAATACAGCATTTCACTATATAATCAATAGAGCCCCGCCTTTACACCAAAACCCCTGACCCAGAGGCCATAATATTCTAAATTTTGGAATAGGCACCCTTGCTCATCATTACTATGCACTTATTTTATCTGTAAAATACCCAGGGGCAGAGAAGATTTTAAAAAAAATAATGCTTTATCACTAAATTTTCAATAGACACCCCCCCCCAAATCTGAACCCTGACCCTGGGACCACAAATTCCATAATCTTGGAAGATACACTCTTGATCATTAGAACCTCTGACCTTGGGGCATTGAATTACACAATTTTGGTAGAGGGTTCAATGCTTATTACAATCATGTCAGCAGTTTGATTGCTTGATGTCCAGGAGTAAAGAAAATGATTTTTAAAGATAGCACTAATTTTGATGGCTTTAGCCCCACCTCTAAGGCTTCAGGAGAGCAGGAACTATGAACTTCAAATTTTTTATTCCCCTTCACTCATAGATGTTCTATGCCAAAATTGGTTGAAATTGGTTCAGCGGTACCAGAGAAGAAGCTGAAAATGTTCAAAAGTTAACGCACAACGTACGACGACGGACGAAAACAGATAGCAATATGTCACCTGAGTGACTCAGGTGAACTTATCAGGGAGAAAAAATGAAAGGAAAAAATAATTAAAGCTGTAAAATCCTAAACAAAATCGTTTATGCCTGACATCCGTCAAATAGTGGAAGGTAGTTAACAGAAAAATGAAAACTCACTGAAGAAAAGAATATTCAAAATAATTTAAGATGAAAAAAGTTGTCTAAACCAAAGACAAAAAAATACAAGAATAGTAAAATACGTAAAATGATGATCAGTATCTGACATCAATGGATCGTTGAAGAAAACCAGAATCCTATATTCAAACTTTTGATGATACATATGAGGAACCACAAATTTATTCCTACATATCTTTCAGGTATAACCATGCTATTAAATTCATTTTCAGTATAAGAGACATCGGGATTTACAGAATATGCAAATATACCGGTATGTTTCTAACCTTCTTTTGTATGTGCAAAAAGTAAACCATCATTAAGTGTTAATTTTGTTTGTTGATTTAAAAACATACTCTTCACGAACAAGATAACTCGAATGTATCTTGATTTTTTTCAGGTGAAAAGAAAAACATGATTCAGTGCTTAGTAATATTTTTTTTTATTGAAATGAGTTACGGTAACCGAAGGAAAGTGAAATTTCATTGCTAAAAACAACTAATGAAAATTATATTTTTATGTATTTTAAAACTTATTTTCCTATATGGAAAAAGTGTTTTGTCACAGAATCTGGTTTTATTCTCACTTCTCACGATATAGAAAACAATTTGACGATTTTTGTTCCCTGTAGATTGATTTCTTTTTCGTGGGGAGAAAGATATATTATTCCTCTATTTTACAATGTTTTCAATTACTGATTAGAAATGAAGAAGAAATAATGTGTCAATATTAATCAATTCTTGCACATGATGTAAGGTATAATGTTTTTATTATTTATTTACTTGATCTTTGATGTTTGTGTGAGATAGGGCTGCAATTATGAAATGGAGATTGATATTTTTTACGCATGAGAAGTGAAACGATGTTGGAAAACATTAGTTTTGATAATGGTTTCCAGCAGCTTAATGTTTGTATGGATAAAATTGTATTATCCTCTGAACAGAGTTCACATTTTATTTATATATATTCTGATTATATACATGTAGGGAAACACAGTTGATGATAAACTACTCAGTAACGTTGATTTTGTAAGAGTTAATATTGTATATATGTGCTTGGGTGGCGTGCTTGTAGTTACATATACTTTAATGTAGCATGTACTCGGAAACAATATATGTCATTGACAAATCATAATAATACAATGTAGATTTATTGCTCACAATACTAAGGAGCTAGTGTAAATGTTTAAGAATGTCAAAGCACAGTTCTCCTTTTTACCTGTTGTATACATTGTTTTATTATTTTGGATATAATTTTATTTTTGTGTGCATGTTAAGAATTTGCAGTAATACGTGTATATTTCCAAGTACGCAATGGTTCCGTTGTACATTTATAGTATTTATGTCTGTATGTGAAAAACAACTATAATAATGACCCGAAGAAATTTTATATCAAGGTGCCTGAAACTGTTCACGAAAATGTTACAGTAATATTTATTAACATTTTAGGGCTCGTATTCATTAAATCATCAAGAAACAAAGATAGGGCTTTTATGTGCCATTTATGTAAACATTACATTAGTGAAGGTTGCACATAACGCCCATTTCTTTGTTACAAAATGCCATTTGTATTTTCAAAGTCATGGAAAGTACAATATAAGAACATCTAGAATGAACTTAATTGATATTTTTTGAGTTTTTGCGATTTCTCTTCCAATATGAAGACTCTAACTTAATTTTTTTTTTTTTTGGATCTTTCAATTAAAATTTCCCTTTTCTCGCATAAGTTTCTCAAAACCCAGGTCCGTAGAGCGCGGGGGAAGGGGGGTCTGAGGATGTTTTTTTGCTGCAGTTTTAATTTGTAACTTCTCATTTATATTCTGGTTGCCCCCCCCCACCCCCCCCCCCTTCCACTTTTTGTTGCTGTAATGTCAAGCACTTTCAAATTCCAGCATTTGAAAAAAAATGTACCTAAAAAAAAATAGAGGGAGATCCAACCAACCAACCAACCAACTCCCACCCCCATCCCCCGAACTAGGATTTTCTAGTTTTGACAGTTTACTTTTTTTTAAGTACCATGGAACTAAAATATTTTTGGTGAACACAGTAGTTAGGTATCCATAGGAATCAATGGGGAGATATAAATTGAGAAAAAACAAATGTGTTCTTTCTTTTAAACATGCCCTTGAAAAGAGGGACTGATTTTGTTGATATCACGGTATTTCAAAATGAATAGCAGACTGTTAAACATCCATCATTCCTCCTCACAACCTCAGGAGTCCACTCGTTACCGTTGGACATCTGACAAACCTAATATGATTTTTACAGGCTTCTTCTTTCATTGAGGGTCGCCCGCTTGGCGCAGTGGTTAGAGCGCTCAAGAGTCGCGGAGTAAGGAGTTGATCCTTATGTCGCGGGTTCGAATCCCACTGTGGGACTTGGAGACTGATCTTTCGGATGAGACCGTATAAACTGAGATCCCTGTTGCAGTAGGTGCTGGCACGAAAAAGATCCCTCACTGCTCAATGGTCGTAAGTGCCGAGTATAGGTCAGAATTTGTAGCCCTCCACCAACAAGTGGTGGCGCCTCCATATGAGTGAAAAATTCTCGAGAGGGACGTTAAACAACAAACAATCAATCAATCTTTCATTAAGAAGCGCCAATCAGATCAGGACTTTCATAAGATGACAAAAAAAAAGTAAACGGAAAGTAAGCAGTTGACGCCTCAGTGCGGTGTAACAGGTTGTTTGTCACCGAAAGGTTAAATGTGATCGGAGGAGAGATAAGAAAAAACAATCAAGATTTGTAATTTCCCCGAAAGATGTCGCTGCAGTCAACCCGTAAAATATCAAATGAAGTTTGTCAGGGGCCACGAGTGGACTCAGAACCCCTGACGTGGAGGATGTCAATCCTTCGACATTCAAATGAAGTGTGTTGTCTCTGTTTTGTTCTGCATCCTAAAACACACATCACAGTCTAAAAAGTAAAGACGACCGGAATGATTTATTAGCGCATAACCCTTTTGACTTAACTTCAGAAGGTAATATCCTCCGATCACCTCCAATGAACTTCCTAAATGTCTTTCATTTATCTATTTATTTTGCAATTGCATATTACAAATAGTCTGAGAGTAACGGTACCACGGAACACATGCAGGACATTTTTGGATTTGATGTGCTTGTAAACAATGGCATTGTACATGTTGAAAATTGATTACTGGAGTTCATTATTAGATAGGAATTTACATGTGAAGCAATGCAAACCATTTGGAAAGTCGTTTTAAAAACAAAAACAGAGCATTGATATTAATCTAAAGCTTTTAAAATATTTAATTGGACAATTTACGAAACTTGTGGGTCTTAATGCCTTTGATTTTATTTTTTTCTTCTTCAGCCAATGTTTTAGTTAAGAGCAACCCAGAAGTTTTAGACTATCAAAGCTGACATGCTATGTATTAGCCGAAAATGATATAAAATTTATTTATAATATCGTGGACAAAACAATTATTGGGGGGGGGGGGGGGGCTTCACTGCATATATCACTGCTTGTTCGATATAATTGTATATTGATAGTTGAAGTTGTATCATTAGTGGTATAAT